TAACACTGTCTTTAATGAAACTCTGATATTTTTTTCCCTTTAACTTATGTCCTAAAACTCACTGTAAAATCCACAATAGGTTTATGATAACCACATTTGTTTTAGATGTAGCTTAAACATGTTATATGCAAGTTAGAGAAAATGCAGTAATGGATAAGCAAACAAAATATTAGAATTTATCACCTTATAAATATAAAAATGAGGTTAGTCTTTACAAACAAATTTGAGGATCCTTAGGAGTGATTTATACCTCACCAAATATATGAAAGCTTCCCAACAACCTTAATGCATATACATTTCCAACATTTCTGCATTTTAGAGTGACATCCAAACCACTCCTTTCTCTTGATCTTGTATTTGCCTCTCACCTTACTTACCTTAATCTACCCTAAAATTCATTCCTGCTCTTTAAACTTCAACTTCTCTATTATTATTGTCCTTACATTGCTTTTTCATTGAAATTATATCATTTAAATAATATCAAATGGCCAACTTTGCCTCTCTCTTTCTATAAAACTAGTACAAGATACAATCTCTTGTTAGGCCATTGAGCATGAATTATGAGGTACAATTTTTGACTCATAACTGTTCAAAAACTGAATTTCTGGGGCCTCCCTGGTAGTACCATGATAGCACTTTAAATCTATCAGCACCACTGCAGCATGAGTTCAATTCCCAGCCAGGGATTTAACCCACATGGCACAGAAGACAGCTCTTGTCTTGCCTGCTTCTCCCCTCAGCAATGTATTTCAGTCTTACTGCCTGTTCTACTCCCTGCTCTGTCTCTGGTGAATCCTCTCATAGCTTCACCCTTACCTCTAACCATGACAATTCTGGCCTACAACTCAACTCTTATATGCATAAATACATGAAACATTTTTTAATGATTTTCTGTTCAGGTATTGTTTTCAGGAACTTGCAAGATTGAATTTTATGGAGAAGAAAACATTTATATTACTATTTTTAGTATGTTTATAGTGTGTTCCATAAAAGAATAATCATCATGAACAACATAATACATATTATTTTTCTTCAATTCCGTTCCTTTGGGGAATGAGTCTGAAAATGTCATTGAGATGTGTGTTGTGTGGTGTTTTAGCTATGTTTTTTCCTCTTTGGAGGGCCCTCCCTGGTGGCACCACAGTTTAGGACACATCGGTGCAAACTAGCTGCAGCCACTTCAGTGTGAGTTTGATATCAGGCCTCAGAAGTGAACCATATGGCACAGCAGACCACTCCTCTCTCACCCACTGCTCCCCTCAGCAGTGTACTCTGTGGATCTGCCTACTCTGTTCCCCGCTCTGTCTCTGGTGAATCCTCTCATCGCCCCTGCTCCTCTGACCTGTACCCCGGTTCTGTATGCTTAAATAAATAAATCTTTAAAAAATAATAATTACCCTTTGGAGTCTTATGTTCTAGACTAAACAAATTTTACTTATTTTAAAATTCTTTTCAGAACTACTTTACATAAATTATTGATATCCCCTTTTAAATTGCAGTACAAAGCTAATTTCAGACTCCTCATCATTCACTGTCACTAAATTGCTGATCTTTGTTTAATTGCTTACTTATGACACTTGCCTGCAGCCACTCCTTTATTAACTGCCGCCATACTTTTTAATAACATCATTGACAGCAGGATTAGATTGATTTCTAAAATCTGTCATGAAATGCACCATTAAACACCTATCACATTTAAGTGTGAATGTCTAGTCTCTTGGTTCTAGAGTCTTATTCAGATATGCTCTGATTAAGAACATTACCTCTTTTTTACCATAATTGATGGATATCTGTTCTTATTCATTGTCTCTGGAGAATCTCAGAAGATTTCAAAAAACTACATCTCAAAATCATATTAAATTATTATATTTTGGAAAAAAATATGCAAAGAATGACTATACCTATCTACATATGAAATATAACTTAATATTTATCACTATATATATGTATGTTTAATTTTTATCACTATATATATGTATGTCTATATATATATATATATATATATATAAAATTTTGGCAAATTACTTAACTCTTTGTTGCAAAATTTCCTCAACCCTAAAATAAAAATAGTAGTTTTCTTAATAATATTTGAATTTTAAATGCTAGTATATTCAAAAACTTTGAGCAGATTTTGTAATTATTATTACCTAAAAGTTTGATCATTATCATATAAGTAACAAATAATGAACTTATTTATGTTGAACTCATTGATAGTATAAATATAATTTATATTAAATATCATACTAGTATTCTTTCTCTTTTGTTTCACAAAATCAATGTGTTCTCCAAGAAAATACAAACTACCAAAACAATAATTCTCTAACAGGGACTACCTGATGGTGCTAACATTTTACAGAAATAGAAATTATCAATTGATACTCAGTCATTAAGATATTTTAATAAACTATATAATGAAATAATCTAACAAGAAACAAGAAGTAGGATGCTACATTTTCCTATTGGTATATATATATATGTCCAGGCAAACACATAACTGTAATTACATATGCATACTTTAAAACACATAATGGGAGGCATCAGTTGATACTTTCTATTTCTGTAAAATGTTAGCACCACAAGGGAGTCCCTGTCAGATAATTTTTTTTTTGGTACTTTATATTTTCTTAGAAAATACATTGATTTTTGTGAAGAAAAAGAGAAAGAATCCTAATATAATATTTACTATAAATTATATATATATATATTTACAATATGAGTTTAATATTTCCCACATTTTCTTTAATCTCTTTGAGATTAGAAAACAACCACTATATCTAGACAACAGCTTAGTGTAGACCACATTACAATAAAACCTTAAAACCAAAAAGCTATTATGTCAGACTATCTGAAAATAATCATAGTATGAAGATTGTGATGGTTGTCATGCTCAAGTTTCAGCATACATAATAGCAAGATCTGAACTGTGCTAATGCTGTGTCAAATATCTTGTGTGATTTCTGCAGTGTCACTTACAGGGCATACTCAAAATTTACCAGCACAGTTATTAACTATCAGCAGTGCTCCAGTAAGAGAGTAAAATTGCCTACAAATGTTCATATTTTCCCCCTGGATATGTGTGATGAAATGATGGCATCACCAAAGTAAAACAGCTGCTATATGTTGAGTCAAAAAGAAAAAAAAAAAAAAAAAAAAAAAAAGGCCTTAAGTAAGGAAGTAAAAGAAATGTTTTATTTATGAACTAAAATAACACATCAAATAATGTGGGATAGCTGAGAAATCATGAGAGAAAATGGATTAAAGAAAGTGCACTAAATCAAAAACATTAAATGCAGCAAAAATCACCAAAATTGCAATCAGTTTAATTTGCTAGTGAACCATTTTAAATAGCAAAATAAAATGCACTGGTGAAGAATTATTTTATCTGCTTCCTATTTAAACCTAAAAGTTAAATACATGATTATATGTAATATATTTTACATATGCATGCATTAAGAACATGCACCATATTCTGCTGAATTTGCAAACATAAAAACATTCCTCAATATTTGTATGATTTGAGAATAAGACCATGTACATGCTAACACATGATTTGGGCACCAAAGTTGTGTTGGGGAATGTTTTGACATTTAGATAAACACACACACACACATACATGTATGCATATCCACACACAAACTTTTTTTAAACAGTGAGCTTGCTTTCAAATGGGCCACCAAGATGACTATAATCTAAGAAAACTAACCATAGTTCGATAATCCATTGAATAATTATCAATTTACTACTTTAAATACAAAACAAAACACAAAAATGTCCTCCTTTGGGTAGACTGTGTAGTCTGTAAATTTGGGTTACTAGGTTATTCATATAAACTCTATTCTAAATACATAACAAATAATTGTGATTGTGAGATTTATCATTTCATAAATATCTACCAAGTAGCAACTTTTACAGACAAGAAAATTAAAATATGACTATTATTATGAAAATATTTGATATGACTTTAGAAAAATCTAGGTTAAAACTGATTCCAACTACTACATGTGGTTAGAATAGTGACTGAACTTATGATTTGTAAACTTTAGTCTTCTCATGAAAATGTACTAAATAGTACGTAACTCATAACTTGTGGCATAAAATAATGTATGTCAGTTGTCAGTTATAATGACTGGCACAACAAATGACAGATCATGTATTTGTGTGTTGAAACTTTTAACACACTACTAAAGGATACAAATCATTGAAAATTACAAACCTAGTGGTCAGTTCATGTTGAGACCAAAAGTGAAAGATATAAAAATGAAAGTTATGCTTTGTAAAAGATAAGGACTGTAGCTGCATTTAGGCATCAAACATCACATTATTATTATTTTCCAACTACTTGTTTCGAGGGCAATAATCCTAAAAGGCACACATACACTCCTGAGACTTTGCACACTTCCAGTAAATATATGTATTTTCTCGAGTTTGTTGAAAATGCCTCATCATTTTTTGTATCTTAACCAGAAATTGTAGCATTTCAGTAAATTTAATTGTTTTCATAGCCAATGAATAAGTAATTATAAACGGTTAGATCAAAAAGACTTAAATACCTATTGTGACACAGTGTTTGAAACACGAGTATAGTTTCAGTGACTGTTGATTTCTAATGACTTAATCTTCAGAGTTTTTATTTGCTTCCTATTTTAAGTTTAAAATTACACTGTTGACACAAATTGAAAACTAAGAATTTTAGTAACATTATTTTAAATATTTTAAATCTTAAAATTATCATAAGAAAAGTTTACATAAGATAAGAAACATACATAAAATTAATGTTAGTTTTTTTAAGTACATTTATTGTTAACTAAAGAATATTTCATATGTTTTTTGTTTAATGCTTTCTTAGGTGAGCTCCTGAAATCCTGACGCATGAATCTAGCAATATTTTTGTAAATGACTGTATGCATATCATTTGTCTCTGAACAGATGACAGAAAATAAAGATTGGCTGCCTCCAGATCAAGTTGCTACTGCCAACTCTCGCGAGCTTTGTCAGTAACAGTTGATTGTAATGTCAGTGCAGTCCAATTTGCAGACTACAGCAGCAGCTGCATACAGCATTTCCCTGAAGTATTAGATGATTTCCACTCCTTGCAAACTTTATCATCTCTATTGCAGTGAGTCCGGTAAGTTGCTCTGAATTTTTTATTTTCGTGTAGAGATCCATGTTGCTGTGAAGCTCATTCTGCAAGAGGATTGTGATCCCTTTATTTGTTTACTGTACCCCTTTGGTGCTCTGTGGGGATAGTCATTGCAAATGGTACAAATGAAGCAAGCCAGCAGGTGCAGGCATCAAATCTTCCTATTATTCCAGAAACACAGGAAGAATCCATTTAAGTGCTAAAGAAATAAGGAATTTTTCAACATTTCATAAAGGACCAAAGCACTTGTGGAATCACCGTGATGTGTGCTCTTACTGCACTTCCTAAAAGAAAATATTTTATGCTGTTTTTTGCCCTTAAGTTCACTGTTTAGTGAATTTATACTGGGGAATAACAAAAATGATCTTTGAACAGTATTACTTTTTTTTTTTCTGCCATACAATTAATAGTTTTCTTATTGTGTGGCTTGACAGAGTACTTTTTTTAATCAACATTTTGTCATCTGAAACTTTCACAGTATCAAGTGGCCAAGGAAAAATAAGTTAAATTTGCCTAAAATACAAATATATTTCCTAATTTGACATCAGTTGCTTTCACTTTTGCCATTTTTGTCATCTTCCTTTTTATATATGTGTTTAAATCACAGCAGTATTTTACATTTGCTATTGTCTTTAGCATTACAGAAATCATAAGCAGGTAGATCCTTTCTGCTCATGCTTTCCTTGTTTGTTGATATAAGTTCATTTTAACCAAGGAATTAAGCATTTTATATAAAATGTATGAATGGTTAAAAGCCAACTAAATTATAAACAAAACTGTTCCATAGTGCATGATTTCCATATGTATTTTGTGTTTAACTTTTAGAATGTGGCTTTTACATGTTTGTGACTATTTTGCATGATAGTAAACTCAAAGAGCTCCTGCTACTAGCCTGTGTGATTTCTTACATAATATAAGCTATCATATAATTATGATAAATACTATTAAATGTCACATAAATAATAGTTACATTGTCTAAAGAAAATCATTAACATTTATACAGTGACTTTATACTAAAAGTTAAAATCTTTAGAATTCTCTGTTATTGTATGTGGTTATTTGAATGCCAAGTGCAATTTCTAATGTGATTTTCATGTTCTGTTTTTACTCTTTTAAATTTGCTGTGATTGCTTTCAATGCCCTGCTTCTTTAATTGTAGGAAAATGAGATCTACTCCATATTTCAGTTTTAAAATATAAGCCAATAATGTCTTAGCAAGTTGCATATTATTTCTAGATTTAGTTTCTGCTTTAGTTTCTTGGCCACAATTTATAACGCATACTTCAAGTGTACATTGCTTTCATTTTAATATTTTTATGCCGAAGTATGCTCATTCTGATCAAAACTGAACTGTCCTAAATGTTGGACAACTATAATTGACTGAATGGCTAACTAAAGAAAGATTAATCTTGAAAATATTCAAGAAAACTTATGTTTAATATTCAAATTATTTAAATATTGAAAAGTTTGTGGATGTTCTTCCCCGAAGAGGACAGATGTAGATCTTATGCTTTTGTTACCTAATATAGTGTCTTTAATCTGTAAACTCTTTTAGTGTCTGTGGTATCTGAAAGAGCCCTGAAAGGGAGTGGTATAATCTATTTATAGATAAATTTCCTCCTTCTCTACTTCACTTAGAGTGGAACAAAGCAAGCTTTTTTAGGTTTGATAGAAAGGCTTAGTTGTTTTAATATGGCCAAGTGTATTATAGTGGTACTTATTCTACATGACATTATAATGTTTCTTTGCATCACATTGCAAGTGGCTAAAACTCTAAAATAAACAAGGTTTTCTGGTTGTTTGTTTTTACATAGAAATACAAATTTTATTACCCTATAAAAGTAGTTTTCAAGGAAAATGACTACCCATATTTGTACTCAACATGCTTTATTAGGACCTTAGAATGTCCATTATTTTGAAAACTTAATTGATACATATTTATGGAAAATTTATAACAAATTAACATCTCTATTGCAATAATTTTATCATATCCATATCATATAGTATTATGTGTGCATATATAGGTGCACATATTTATTTATTTACATTTATATATGCATATATATTTAATTGCTGAGGAATTTTGATACTATTTTCATAACTAAGTTTTATAAAAAGCATAACAAATCAAATTAATTTTGCCTGTTTTAATTTGAAATTTGAAAGTGATATTTTGTAAAGTTTAAAATTTTCTAAAAATAAGTTAAAAATATTTTTATATGCTGGAACATTTGATGAACTTTAAACATTGTAGTATACTCATTTACATTCTATTTATGTTCTACATTGTATTCCCTTTTCTACTTCCATCATGCAAACAAAATGTGCTCTTTTTCTTTATACCAAACAAAACCTACTTTCATATTTTAAACATATCACAATAAGTGAATTGACTTAAATTTAGAGACTCACTTGTACTTAGTGTGAAAATTTGTTACATTCTTTATAATAAACACTTTGTGTAGTTTTAAGAATTTAAATTATTTAATATAACAAGTCAAATTTATCAATATTGTTAGGAATAAAAACAATGAAGTCTCATATATTATGCTAGTTAATATAAAGATTTAGAGATATTGAATAATAACATTTGCTTAGTTTCCTTTATGTTCCCTTTGATTGTATAATTATGTGACAACCTATATTATAAATACTAAAAAATACTTTTAATGGGAAAACTACAAAAGAAACATAGTGGACTAGATGATGAAAAGGAAATAAAATGTTTATTTACAAATCACTGTAGCTGAATATTAAAATATCATCCTGCATTAAATGTGAAAATGTGATCATGTTCATATTTTCACATTAAAAATTCAATTTAATAATATAGAAAACATCCATCAAATAGCATGAAGGAGAGCTGGACATTATATTGCCATTCTTGCAGTAAACCAAACTTATCTTAAGTATTCACAAGGTGATAACAGTGATATTTTTGAAGTTGGGGCACTATTCACATGAATCACAATATCTAATATTAAGGCCTACTTAGTGCTAAATATAAATAAAAACTTAGAATTTTTTGTAAATCAATTTAAATTACATGGCAAATGTAGCCACATAGATGTTATAGTGTATTTTTAGCTTAGTTAATGAAAATTATTACATCATTAATTATTAGTTAATTCAAATATTTGGTAGTGATTTTACTTGTAATATAATTATAATTATAATAAACTATAGGACAACAATTTTAAAATCATCAGGGATTTAAAATTATTAGGTTTGGCATTTACTATATGAAGATAATTAATATTTATATAAAGCCAGATGATCTTTACATTAGAGCAGAAGACCTGATCAAACTACACACAATAGAGCATACATTACAGTAGAAGAACTGATCAAACAAAATAAAAGAGAGGGTAATTGGGATGCTACACTTACCTGATTATCTGTAGCTAATGTCAATAATTTTTTTTATTTTATTTCTTTTACTTTTATTTTCCAAAGCATGGTAAAAAAAATATATATATGTATATATATACAGCATTTTGTTTTTCTAAGTTCTACCTCTATTTACTTAAGAGAAGAAGCTTAAAAATTATCAGAAGAATAAAGATTCTAATAGTTGTGACTAAAATCCCTATAATTTTCAGATATTTAAAATTACATTAGAGAGTGTTAAAACTATCGGAACCTTTACATTTTCCTTATTATTATTTATAATGAAACTAAATGCATTATGCTTATACTGGTACCAATACACCACAGTGGTATAAAGATGGTGTTAAAATATATACTTCAATATATTTTTTATCTTAGCATAAATTCAATTGTATCAATTTTGTGAACAAAATAAAATGTTATCAGATTTTTAAAGGCCTTACTATTTTAAACACCTTTACTTATAGCTGCATGATATAAATGCAGGTTTATGCATATATATACACATACACACATATGAACATGAATAGAACTAAGTGTTGTTATATAGATACAGATATAAAATAGTTATAAACAGACATAAAGTAATAAAGACAGACAGACATAGAAATAAAGTTTTATATCCAAAATCACTGAAGTTACCAAAAAAAAAAAAATACTATCCTTAATGTGTTTATTCACTGAGATATTTTTGGATACCAAAAATTGATTCACTAACTGACTAATGAGCAAAGGTGAATGAAACCTGTTTTAAATGTGTATATCCTATATCTGGCACACTTATGAGGACACTTGTTTATGTTTTGTTTCCTAACATAGTCTGATTTTTTTTTTAAGGGAAAGAAAAAATAATAATAATACAAATGTCCAGTGCTACAGGGTTGATATCTTGGGCACATAGGTTGGAGTTACAAATAACAGGAAAAAGTTTTTTCATTTATGAACTTTTGTTATTATGTGGGTGAGATCAGTATTTGTATTTAGTGTTTTGAATTAGCTCTCCACTCAGTTATTTAAAGATGTTGATTATTTTAAATATTTTATATGTTTTTATGTCCCTCTTTGTCATGTGAGATTTCAGAATTCGGTTTTATTTTTTTTATTTATAATAAACTCACATGTGCATATGAATCTTCAATCTCCAGGCTGTCAAATAAATGTTATTTATTAAGATGTCGAACAGTTATGATGGTGTTCGTTTCAGTTTACTTTTGCTTCTGGAAGTATTTCCAGTCATTGCTCAGCTTTATTAATTTGATTTTACTTATTGACTCCTCTATCAAAATGCAAGTAAATCTGGCTATGCTAACATATTTAACCTACTAGTTGCATATAATTTATTAACAGCTACTTAATACATGTACATCAAGGAATCTGCAAATATAAAATTCCTTCTAAGGCAATATTTTTTTTTTCTCTCAGAGCATATTATCACCCAGTAGTTTTCTTTCACATCATAAATCAAGAAAAATAGTCCTTAACTTTTTCAGTTTACATATATACAGTGTCCCTCTTTCTTATATTCCCTAATTCATCTTTTAAATGATAACTGTCAATTTTCACAAATTTAGGATAAATGGCAATTACCTTAGTTTTGTTTTTTTTTTTTTTTTTCCTTAACATTCAGTATACGGATTGATTGTTCAAATTATGTTCTGACCTTAGGCTAAGATTGAATGGAGGGAAAAATTTATTAGATAAAATGGAACACAAAATTGCAAAAGTCTAAGGAGCCTTACAGGTTCTTAATCTACTTCACACTTCTGTCCAAAACCATCTAGTCATGATTAGAAATGTGCCTATTTCAGGGAATATTGGAGCTTCTGTTTACGTTTCTAGCTAAAGTAGAGATTATATATCATAAATAGACTACCATTGAATAACCCTTCAGTTGCAGCTATGTATGTGGCAATATTTACATGTATATGCATACATATCCACATACATCCATGCACACACACACATGCATGTCTGGGGAAATTTACTTTTAAATATTATGTATTCCTTAAAGACATACGGAAAATGGCCCTCCCTGGTGGTGCAGCGGGTTAAAGCACAGCACAAAGAAGCTTAAGCCACTTCCGCATGAGTTGGATCCCACATGGCGAGGCAAACCACTCCTGACCCACCTGCTGCTTCCCTCAGCAGTGTACTTCGTTGATCTGCCTGTTCTGCTCCCCACTCTGTCTCTGGTGAATCCTCTCACCCTCCGCATCTCTGGCCTGTACTCCAGTTTTGTACGAATAAATAAATAAATCTTAAAAAAACAAAGACATTTGGTAAATAAAACTACACTATAAAATAAAGATACTTACTAAGGAAATAAATCCTGCTTTCCATTCTATTTTTATCTTTTCTAAATTGAAAAATGGATTATTTCCAACCTTTTTCTATACTTTGTAATAGTAGTGGATATATTAGGTTTCATAATTTTTATATCTATAGCGACCACTGTATTTTAGTTATTATATTTAATAATATAAAATACCAAATACAAGAGACTGCTAACCCCCTACTTACCTCTTTTTCAGAAATCAATATGCAAAGCAAGGCTACAGTCATATGCATCCGATTTATCTTGTGTGTTTTCCTCTTGTTGGTGTTTATTGGGATGTCACATAGTGAAGAAGACATAATCATTGTGACAAAGAATGGAAAAGTTAGAGGAAAGAGCTTGCCAGTTCTTGGTGGTACAGTGACAGCCTTTCTTGGAATTCCCTATGCACAGCCCCCTCTTGGTAGACTTCGATTCAAAAAACCGCAATCCTTGACCAAGTGGACTGATATTTGGAATGCCACAAAATATGCAAATTCTTGCTATCAAAAAATAGATCAAAACTTCCCAGGCTTCCTTGGATCAGAGATGTGGAACCCAAACACTGACCTCAGTGAAGACTGTTTATATTTGAATGTGTGGGTTCCAGCACCTAAACCAAAAAATGCTACAGTAATGATATGGATTTATGGTGGTGGTTTTCAAACTGGAACATCATCTTTACACGTTTATGATGGCAAGTTTCTTGCTAGGGTTGAAAGAGTTATTGTGGTTTCAATGAACTATCGGGTAGGTGCACTAGGATTCTTAGCTTTACCAGGAAATCCTGAGGCACCAGGTAACATGGGCTTATTTGATCAACAATTGGCACTGCAGTGGGTCCAAAACAATATAGCAGCCTTTGGTGGGAATCCTAAAAGTGTAACTCTCTTTGGAGAAAGTGCAGGAGCAGCTTCAGTAAGTCTTCATTTACTTTCTCCCAGTAGTCAACCTTTGTTTACCAGAGCCATTTTGCAAAGTGGTTCCTCAAATGCCCCTTGGGCAGTAACATCACTTTATGAAACTAGGAACAGAACTTTGACCTTGGCAAAATATATTGGCTGCTCCAGAGAAAATGAAACTGATATCATCAACTGCCTTAGAAATAAAGATCCACAGGAAATTCTTTTGAATGAAGCATTTGTTGTACCCTATGATACTCTCTTGTCTATAAACTTTGGCCCAATCGTGGATGGGGATTTTCTCACTGATATGCCAGTAGCACTTCTACAACTTGGACAGTCAAAAAAAACCCAGATCTTGGTAGGTGTTAATAAAGATGAAGGGACAGCATTTTTAGTATATGGTGTCCCTGGTTTCAGCAAAGACAATAACAGTATAATAACTAGAAAAGAATTTCAAGAAGGCTTAAAAATTGCTTTTCCAGGAGTGAGTGAATTTGGAAAAGAATCAATTATTTTCCACTACACGGACTGGTTAGATGATCAGAGACCTGAAAACTACCGTGAGGCCTTGGATGATGTTGTTGGGGATTACAATATCATATGTCCTGCCTTGGAGTTCACCAAAATGTTCTCAGAATTGGGAAATAATGCTTATATGTACTTTTTTGAACATCGATCTTCTAAACTTCCTTGGCCAGAGTGGATGGGAGTGATGCATGGTTATGAAATTGAATTTGTCTTTGGCTTACCTCTGGAAAGAAGAATTAATTATACAAAAGCTGAGGAAGGTTTGAGTCGATCCATAATGAAAAGCTGGGCAAATTTTGCAAAATATGGGTAAGTAATAATAATTGTTATTTTATGCTTATGTTATTTTTTTCCATTTAGTTTCCCTTGGTCACTGGCTTAGAATTTATTAAAGTCCCAAAATTATTATTATTGTTTGCATTTTGCTGTTTTTTATTATTCTGCCAAAAAAATCCAATTTCTTATAGCAGAGTGTTTAAAATAATGTATAAACAACTAATGAAATTATTTTCTGTTTTTTTTCTAAGATATAGTAAAGTACATAAACAATATTAGCCAAAGCTTGTATACAGGTAGATTCTTACCTTGAGAGCTAAAATTACTGCGACCATGCTTTCTAATTAAAATATATATAATTCTCACTGGTTTAAGAAAGAAAAGAAAACTATTTTTCCTCATGATCTTAAGTAGCACAGTGGTAACTAATACATGAAGTAATGCATGACTATTCTGGAAAATCAGAGTGCAAGATATATGGGATTGGTCTTCCAATTATCCAAAATACATAGTTCACCATTTTATGTTTTGTTTTTTTTTTCTCTAATAGGCTTATTCATAGCTTTCAGGAAACCTACATTCAACAACAACAACAACAACAAAATATATTAATTTATCTTCCACTAAGCAGTTCAGGTTCTGACATTTGATAGGTAATTGAAGGCATTATTTTCACTCATATGTCATAAGCATTGTGGTGATATATCCTTAAATGTGAGAAGATAATAATCTGTTCAAGTGCCTTTTCTACTTTGTATATTTTTCGATATAAATTGATGCCCATGAAGAAAACAGTTTATATCAGAGCATTTTTAACCTACATTTGAATATCACATATTGTAATAATTTATATAAGTGAGAATAATTGATGTTTGGCTACTTATTTATCTTTTTTTTAAAGATTTATTTATCTGTGCATACAGAGCTGGGGTACAGGCCAGAGGCTCAGGGGCAGCGAGAGGCTTCACCAGAGACAGAGTGGGGAGCAGAACAGGCAGATCGACGAAGTACACTGCT